AATGAATAAAATCCACTTTCTTTTGGTCTCCGATAATTCTTCAATGGCGAGATATTCGAATCTCGCCATTTTTTTTTTCTGCGTTCCGTTTCTTTAGTGAGTCACTGTACTTCTGATGAGTTTTAAGTCTTTTAGGTTAAACTCAAATTAATGTATCTAGTTTTTATCATTCTTTGTGTGATAATTTAATATTTTTGCTCTTATAAAAAAATATTGTTATATGCAAGATTAATGGAAGTTCAGAGTAAATACGCTATTATATATAACTTGAAATTTTCAATTTTCATATATAAAGTGTGGCAAAAATTTTTTCAAACCAGTCTTTGTATTTTAAGTTGTCACAGTTTTGTATTATTTTTTTCAAAAATGCAATCAATTAGCTTTAAATGATATAAAATCTAGAAAAAATTTAGATATATAACATAGCTTGAAAATTTACATTTTTTATATGTTCTATATAATCTTGGATCGGGTTTTGGGGGGTACTGTACGTTACATGTAAATCAGACTTCTCAGTGATAGCGATAGTGAATCGGAATTTTCAATACATGTGCATAAAAATCAATGAAAGCTGCACAAATAATGTAGCACGAAATCAAGACCAATCCCTTCTTCCACAGTTTTCCTTGTATCAGCTGGTAAGCAATTTGGCTGGCTTTTATTATTTACCAACTAATCTTCTCTTTACAATAAATGATTTTTGAAGTCTTCTCACAACGCTAAAAAAAGGCGTTTATGACAGTTATTTATTTTTTGCTTTCACATATTAATGTTTGGGCTGAAACTGAAACCTAATTTCTGGCGAAACTAGTTTCACCACCTATTCAATTGCTAGTTTTCCTGTTTGTTGGCCTTTGTCGGTGGGGTTAGGCTGGTTGCCAGTTATCACTTTCAGCCTCTTTGCGATAACATTGTCGTTACCACTATTATTGCGCCCGACCTTGTATCCTATTGGTGTGCTTTGGCTGAGTTGACTGTATTTGTTGGGTTCCTCTATTTTCGCCGGCGAGTATTCTAGTGCTTAATTTCTTGCTGGTTCGTTTTGTTCCGAAATGAGACGATTTTCTGCTATAAATGCCATATTTTTGTGGTGATTGTTGGATTCAAGCTGTTGCTTGGGTGTTTGGTCAGATTGGTATGCTTTCTGGTGAGTGTCTCAGTGTTTTCTACCGTTGGTTGTTTTGTTTTATGGATCCTTCTTTGGAATGAAACAAACTTCACGTAATTATGATTGGGGAACGTTGGAAGCGGGAGATTTTGGCTATACCTGATCACTTTTTACTTTCGTTGGCCATTGCCGACGATGTTTGTAGCTGGGACCTCGTTCCTCGGTTTTTCCAGTCCCTGCAGGAGATTTTGTTTTCGTTGGTCGAATTTCCCCCTTTTCCGTTGGCGGCAGCAATTTTCTGTTCCGCAGCCATGTCCAAATCGCACAAACTGTGCGAATAATGAGAGATGATTTCTCAAATTCAGCACTGTTCTGTGTTTGTACGAGTGTGTAAGTCGAGTGAGTGTTCGCGGCATGTTTTAAGTGTGAGTGTGAGTGAATATTCGTATTTTCACGGCGAACCTGATGGGAAGTCGAGGAGCACTTTAACTTGATCCTCGCTCTGACCGAAGCTGATGTGATTATAGATTCATGTTATGAAATTTTTGCAAATTTGAGCAGGTTACGCCAGATTCTGCCGTATGTGTAATTTAAAAATCTTTATGAAGGTTGGATTATCACAAGATTAATTTAATTATGAGGGGATTTTAATAATAATTAAATAATAGTAGGACTTATTGATAATTTTTAACAAAATGATAATACAATCTCAGGGCTTACAAATTAAATACAAATAAAATCAAAATCTAGTATGACTTATTTATAGTAGAGGTTTTCTATTACTTGTGTGCAAGCTTTGAAAATAATGTTTAATCAAATTAATAGTATATTCACAAGTAAGAATTTACAAGTAAGAGATTGTTATTTATTAATCATTAGAGCATGAATTTTCAGAGATTCAAGAGCACAAATTTGAATGACTATATTAAATATAAGCTTAGCATTACATTAGGAGTTTCTTTAATATTACTTTTCTAACAATAACTTAGTTAAATATTATATAATATTTTTAATATTTAAGAAATATTGCACAATATCATTAATATTATTTATATATTGTTACAATAATAACATGAAAATTGCAAATTCAAAAATAATTAAAAAACATGAAAAGTCCAAAAATATTCATATAATGATAAAATTTCCTAGTATTATTTCACTTTTCATTATTTCACTTTTTATTATTTCATTTTTATTTTTCACTTTGCAAAAATTTCACTTTTTATTTTTCACTTTTTAGAAATTTCACTTTTTCACTTTTTTATATATTATTTCACTTTTTCAATTTTTCACTTTTATTTTTCACTTTTATTTTTCACTTTTTAATTATTTTACTTTTTATATCTATTTTTTCACTTTTATTTTAATTTTTCACTTTTATTTTTTCACTTTTTTTAATTTTTCACTTTTTATTTTTTACTTTTATTTTTTCACTTTTTAATTATTTCACTTTTTATTTTTACTTTTACATTTATTATTTCACTTTTATTATTTCACTTTTCATTTTTTCACTTTTATTATTTTACTTTTTTAATTTTTCACTTTTAATTTTTCACTTTTATATATACATTTTCACTTTTAGTTATTTCACTTTTTAATTTTTCACTTTTTATTTTTCACTTTTTTGAAATTTCATTTTTCACTTTTCACTTTTATAATTAATTATTTCACTTTATATATTTTTATAATTATTTATTTCACTTTTTGTAATTTTGAAAAATGTATAAATAAAGGTGCTATCTGAATCTTAACTCGATATGTTGTAACTGAAAATAAAAATCTCTCTCAACAAAATCTTCCTCCAAATATTTTTTGTCTTTTATATTTTCTTTATATACCTCAAATCTTGTATATAAGTAGTTTTATATTATATTGAACCTATTAAATCATTGACAGTTTTATATTGTATTGCACTGAGCAAATTGTTGTTATTAACTTTTGATTTTATATCATATTGTTACACATTTTTCACTAATAGGGTAATTAGCTAATAAACGTGAACAAGGATTAGGAGAGATAATTAAACAAATATAAGAGGAATGTGAAAATAATATCTAAGTCCTATGCCAATTTCTACTGAAATTGTT